CACGATATCTTTCTTTCTTTCTTTCTTTCTTTCTTTCTTTCTTTCTTTCTTTCTTTCTTTAAATTTTTATGTGGTGTGAGGATCGAACCCAGGGCCCCACGTGTTTGAGGCAAGCGCTCTACCACTGAGCCACAACCCCAGCTCCTGGAGTCAGTCTTTCTTTCTTTCTTTCTTTCTTTCTTTTTAATCTTAAAGAGAAATATCCATTTATACCCAGGGGTAAAAGAAAAGAACAGGAAGAGGTGAAGACAAAGGAGACTGAGAAAGCATGACTACATTGACAAAAATCCAGGAGCAGGTAGAAGAGTGTAGGATCCAGAGTTATCCTGGGGCAAGGAAGCAATGCAGTTTTTACTGAGATGGAAGTTCTGGATGAAATCAAATTTATAGATAGTTAAGGACATTCTCACAAATGTACCTGATGTTCTCATTGAAACGAGTGATCTGCCAAAAATGAGGTGGGTGATGATGGTGGCATGGAAGATTTTGAAGATGGAAGAGAGGAGATTTAGGGTTATCAAGTGGCATTGAGGACCTGAGACCAAAAATTTGTGGTGGCACTAATATGCTCCTTTAGGAATGTGTTTGTCTATCAGTGCTCAACAGGAGTATGTTTTTTCTTTTTAATAGTGCTGAGCCCTGATGTAGGAATACTGAACGGAGCAGCAAGATCCAGAATTGGGGCTCTCTAGGGCCCATGTTATCAAAGAATAAAGTCACAAGAGGGCCAAAGAGTAATGAGGAAAAAGGTGATTTAAAGTAATAGATTCTTAATATGATATTGAGAGAACATGGAGAGATCAGGAACAGGAATTAACAACGTGATTGAAAAATTTGTGATTAGGATCTCAGAGACCAAAAAATAATACCCTTCTTTTCTTCTTCTAAATGTGAACCAAGTTATGAAAATATGCAGAAGCAGGCCTATAGAGATGAAAATATCTGCAGGATTGCAAGATGCAGCCTAGACTTGTGGTCACAGTCTGATTTCCTAACACTTATTTGTCCAGCTGAAACAGCCAGCCCCTCCTGGACAGAGACCACCAGGGTAGGCCTACTGTTTGCATGAAGAGGCGAATGTGTCTCAAGGACAGCCAGTGTCAGGGAGGGAGGAGGCAGGGGTGGTCCCACATGTCAAGAACTGGGGAAGAATAAGCAAGCAGTGGAGTAAAAGGAATCCAAGATTGTTACTGTTTCCTAATTTGCCCTTTTGAAACCAGAGAACAGGGAGGTGATTCCCTCTAACAGACATACTGGGAACAAAAGAATCAACCAAAAGACTCCAGAATGTGTTTACAGAGTGGGCCATCAGGGTTTTAGATGTCCAAGATGGAATAGTTCTGAATAACTGTCAGGGATAGGATGAGCTATGGAAATGGTGGCAGTGGTGAATCAGAGGGTTGAGAGACTAAGGTGTGGTTTTAATTATTCCTGTGGGCATCAATGCAGTTCAGGATGATGCTGATGTGGGATGCCAGGGAGTAGATGAGCGTGCCCTAGGTGAGCACAATGAGCTTTGAAGCAGAAGTGAGAGACCTGGACTGGGTTTAGAGTGTGAGACTGGGATAAACCGTTCTGGCCTCTTTGTGAAGTATGATTCCAGATGTGAAGTAGGTATTTGATGCAGTTAGATTTTTATCAGTCTCATTTTTGTGTCACCAATTGTAAACCAAAGATAAGTTTATTATGAGATGACTACTCTGTGCTCATTCACACTGATTTTTTTTTTTTTTTGGGCGGGGGTGGTGGGGGGCAGTTGGGCAATTGTGAATAAGCGGTTGGCAGTCCATTTTGGTCTCTTCCCTGCTGTATGTTAAGGAGAGCAATGAAGGCAGCAGTCACTGAGTTCATGGTTCTCAAGAGAGCTTGAAGAGGAAAGGAAAGCTTGAGTATTCCACATTCCAAATGAATGAGAACTCCATCTGAGAGAGATCATTACTTTCTACCAGGAATAGCAGAACACTAACCTTACTTCCAGAGTTAGTAACTGTGCATGCATGACCAAAGTTTTTATCTCTCCACATTGATAGGAATGGCCTCAGACTCATGAAGCCTCCATCTCCTACACGGGACCTACAGAGAGACCTCCCAGTGAATCAGAAGAGACCCCTCCCCGGCCTTCTCTGTACAGGAGAATATTACGCAGACTTGCCTCCTACTGGGCACAACCGCAGGATGGTGAGCAACGTGGAACTGCACAGGAAAGCCCTGCTCACTTAGGAGTGTCCTTAAGCAGTCCCCCCACAACCAGAGACATAACTAGGACAAGAGCAGTCTCTAGGATCATTGAATCACCAGTCAGGGTGCCACCAGAGCAGAGCCCAAACAACGCCCTGTGAATGGGCATAATAGTCTCTACCCTCTTTTTGTCATTAGCATTTATGGTATTAGTATCACGTAGGGGTGCTGTCTCTGTTTGGTAAAGAATTGAAGAACAGGACACAGAGATTACAAGCAAGGAGGTTTACTGCAAAAGCAACAGAAACAGATTTCTCTGAAGACAAGGGGCCGCAAAGCTGAGAATCCAGTAGGGGAGTTTTGGCCTCTTCTTTTATGGTCTCTGGAATTTCCTCCTTTCCTTTTTTCCTCCCCTGTCCACACTCTCCTTCTGTTATTGATTTATGCACCCTCTGCCCATGCATCTGTTTTAGTTTTTCTATTGGATTCCCTGCTTAGTAGCATGAGTACAGAAGTGTCTGTCTGCCTGGGTCCCTCACTTGTGTCCACAAGTGCCTTTGTCATCCAGGAAGTTGACCTCATCAGAATGCCCTCTCCATGCTCCTTTGTTTAGCCCTGCCCCTGACTTCCTCCTCCCTGGCTGTCTTGTCCTGGCTGCCTAGGTCCTACATCTCTGTCAGTATTGTTACTGCTTTCAGTATGGGTGTTTCAGGCACGTTTCCTTTCTGTGTAAGAAGGGTGAAGTAAATAAGGCTAAAGTGGATGTGCTGGCAGAAGGTCTTGGGAAGCTGAGTTGAGCCGCTGGTAGCTAGTCAGTGGTGGGGACTGAAATTTCAGTGGAAGAAGCTGACCTGTGTTGAATTCCCACAGCCCTCTCGCAAGAGGTGAGCCCAGAGGTCTGGAAAGACTTACAGCTGTCCACCATTGAGCTGTCCATCACAACCCGGAATGGCCAGCTTGACCTGACAGTAAGTATGCTTGTTTATTAGAAAAGCAGTATCTAGGAAGAGTACATGCTTTTCTTACATTATTCCAGTCTTTTTGTTTTTACTCTGTGGGCGTAGAGAGGAAAGGATCAGGAAAAAGATGATTGGTGTGCCTTTAAGGAAGAATAGCATTGAGAAGCAGCAGCTGAGCACATTTGTGTCAGAGACGCTTAAGGGCCTCTGAGCAGGTATTCTGGTCATTCTTAGTCAGCCTTCAGAGGGCTTAGGACAAATGGCCTTTACAAATAAAATGCTAAAAAGATAGCTACTCTCATTTGCCACTGGAATAAAAAATTGCAGAACTTTTACTTGGGTAAAATATCCATTATTCTTGTAACTATATTAAATATGTGGATTCAGATACCCGGAGAAACACACTTTCTCTCTCTCTCTCTCTCTCTCTCTCTCTCTCTCTCTCTCTCTCTCTCACTCACACACACACACACACACACACACACACACACACACACACACACACACACACACATACACACACACATACTTATATCATTTGGGTCCAATCTATAACATACACTATCCAATGTAATAGCCATTAGACTCATGCGACTATTTAAATTAATTAGAATTAAATTTTAAAACTCAATTCTCAGTCACACTAGGTATACATTTCAAGTGCTCAAAAGCCATATGTGGCTAGTAGCTACTATATTAGAAAGAACAGATATAAAACATTTCCATCAGTGCAGAAAATTTGATGGATAGTAGTGCTATAGACAATGCACTAAAAAGAAATATGTTAAAATAAAGCTTGGTTTGGCAAACTGGTCTTCTAGCTGTTTACAAATAGCCCATAAGTGAAGAATTGATTACCTAGCTTATGTGGTGGCAAGAAAGTGGGGGGGGGGACGGAAAAAAGTATTTTGTGGCACATGAAAAGTGTATAAAATTCACATTTCAATGTCTATACATAAAGTCTGATTGGAACACAGCCATGTTCATTCATATACATATTGTCTGTGGCTACCCTCCTGCTATAGTGGCAAGAATGACAGAGACTGTGGTCCCAAAGCCTAAACCATTTACCATCTAAGCATTTTTAGAAAAAGTTCATTGGCTCTGGTATGGAGAAACTATAGTAATTTATATTAGTGAGAATGACAATAGAAAAGTCATTCCGAACTGTGGACATTCAGCTTTTATGCAAATTGAAGGAGTCTATTCATTTTTGTCCTAGTCAGTCAGAAAATGGTGCATAGAATTGGAATGCAGTGAGAAATTTGATTCCAATGTTAATATTCAGATTACTGAGTTATTTTCTAATCATAAAAGTGATGCATATTCATTGCAAAATGTTGGGTAAACAGGTCCCTTCATCTAAAATCATTCCAGTTGAATTAAAGAATCAAATTTAAAATAATAAAATTACTGAAGTACTAGAGTAGAATCTTAAGTGATTATAGTATAAATTTGGGGATAACAAGGTCTTTATAAAACCATACCCAAGGCAAAAATTCATATTCACATATTTGTCTACTTATCTAAAAAAGAAACTATAAACAAATTTTTAGTCACAAATTGGGGAAAATATTAGGATGTGATAGACCGGGAGTTAATATCTTCCTTTATCAAAGATTCCTAGAATATATAAATAAGAAATGGACAAAGGACTAATATTAAAAAATAGACAGTTAAAAATAGAAAATTCACAAAAGATACATATGAAAAAATAGCATCTATTTGCTGAGCATTTACTACATGCTATGTACCCTCCTAAGATTTTTACATTTATTTATTATCTTATATAATCCTCCTAACTATATTATCAAAATTTTTCATCTACTTTTTAAGGATAAAGGAACAAAAATGCTAATGTCAAAAATGCAAATTAAAATAGTAACTAATGAATTACCATAGATTACAAAGCTCAGTGTCAGTATGGGTTGGGAAATGAATGGTCTCATATATTCTTCATGGGACTATAAATTGTGACACCCTGTCTCAGGTAGTATATATATGAAGTGTTTAAAACATATGCATACCCTTATCTTTTAAGTGTAGAAATTTATCTTACAGAAATGATCAGATAAATACATAATGTAGTCAGTCCTTGCTTTTTTACATAATGGAATTCTAGACACATTGGTGGAAGTGAATAAATGAAGGTTTAAAAAGTCTGTTCCAGAGGAATTTTACAAAGAAATATAAAATTTCTGCTACTCATTTCCTTTATAATCAGAGTATGGCAATATGTATTTCCAGTACTTTGTTCGAGTTCTTTTACCATTGTTCTTTTCTCTGATGATGGAATACCAATGAATGGGTTCAGTGAGTGTGTGATTGCAATGCAAGATTAGCTACTTTCAGAATGCTGAGTGCTGTTCATCTGTGTGCCAATTATAAAAGTATATGATACTGTGCTTCTTATCACTAGTAGCAGCACATTCACTTTTTTCTTCTTTCTACCCCTCTTTGTAAAAAATAAAAGCAAATGCAATAAAATATTCAAAGACAATGTAGCTACCATGTAATGGCTCAAAATGTTTACTTATTAAAAGAAGTATATTCAGAATATGAAAGAAGCTTTAGTAGTATGGAACATGTGAAAGTTAGCTTTTTGTATAATGTCTATTTATAATAGCAAAATATATGAAACAAACTAATGGACTAATTAATTTTATATTTACTCAAAATTATATATACATTTATATGTAATCTTCTATATTTATCGACATGGCAAGGTGCTCATCATCGATTTTTTAAAGAAAAACCAGGTTAAAAAGATTTGCATCAAATGGTTCCATTTTTGTTGAAAAAGGAAATACTTTAACCGTAATTGTTTTGTGAATGATGAAGGTAAGGTTCTTCCAAATAGCCAATTGTCCCAGCATCATTTGCTGAAACATCCACTTTCCCGCCATTGATCTTCACTAATCTACTGCCGTATATCACGGATATATGTACGTGTAAATATTTCTAGTTGCCCAGCCTGTTCCTCTAATTTTCTATATTTGTACTCTGCTTCTCTTTTTATAGTTTTATAATGAGTTTCTCTGTTTTTCTTCCTTTTAAAAAAGAGTGTCTTGACTATTCTTGGCTCTTTTGACATCTATAAATATTTTAGAATGATTATTTTATTAAATTCTACATTGAATCTTTATAATATTAGTCCAAGTTACATTGTACCCATAGATCAACTTGAGAAATGACATTTCTATAGTATTGACTGGTCCACCATCTGAATGTGGTACATATCTTCATTTATTTAAATCTTCAATATCTCTCAATGACGTTTTTTAGTTTTCTCAATAGCACTGTCTTTTGCTACCTCTATTTTTAGTTGTCTTCATTTTTGATGTGCTGTTATAAATAATATTTTAAAATTCCATTTTCTGAATATCCAACTTAATAGATGAACAAAATTGAATTTGTGTTGATGTTGAATCAGTAAGCTAATAAATTCTTAATTTTTGCCTATGGATACCTTCAGATATCCTTTAGATTCTGTATAACTGCAAATAACTGCAAATAATTCAAGTTTTCAGACACTTATCCTTACAATCTTATCTTACCTTACCATACAGGCTATGACTTCAATAGTGTTGAACAGAAGTAGTGATACAGGAGTTGTTGTCCTTTTCCTGATTTCCAGAAAGACTTCATTGCTTTTTTTTTCTTCTTTTTAAGAGACCTTTTTATCAGATGTAAGAATTTTTTCTTCTAATACCAGTTTTCTAAGAGTTTTTTAAAAATATCTCACTCAATTTTACCAAGTACCTTTCCAGCATCTATTGAGTTGATAAACTTTTCTCATTTACTCTACCAATATAATAGATTGATTTCTCAATGTCACTGCGACTTTTGATCAAGATAGAACAATAAACAACTGCTGTACCTCAGCACTTTAAACATGAGATAAGATCTGTGAAACAGCTGTTGACAAACATTGGTGTGAAATCGGCAGTCTGGGACAGTGGTCCCAGAGAGAAAGGAATCAAACAAGGAGAGCCCTGTGCTTGCCCAGCTCACTGCTGGAGAGAGGCCACAGGGAGGAGACAGGGGACCCAAGCAGAGCCCAGCCCTATGGTTTCCTCAGTGAGGGATTGTTGAGAATTTAGAGAGATTAGGGCAACTAGAATTGCAGGCCAGAGTACAGGAATGCTGCGCCAGGAAGTGAACACAGGTCTGTTTCCTGTGGAGTCTTCAGCCGAGCTTATATAGCTGTGTGCATGTGAGAAGTCACCTGTAAGCAGTAAGAGCTACCACCAAGGAACAGGCTCCATCTCAGGAGACTCAGTCAAATCCCAGGGCCAGGAATAGTTTGTGTTCCCACCAGCCAGGGTGAAAGTCCTTTTCAAACCTTGAGTATTGAGTACCATCCTCAGAAGGTACTGCCTCCACAGTGGCACAAAATTAGGTACCTCTGCTCCCTCCTAAAAAAGCTTAAGGGCTGGCCTCCAGGAGGTCACAATTTGCAAGTAATGTAACAGTGCCTCCAGAAAAGGTTTGAGAAGTTGGCAAAGGACTGTCCTCAGGCTTAACTGACTTTAAATAGTCTTTATTTAGTTGTCTTTAAATAGTTGAAAAAAACCAAGAGTATTTTGTTACATGTGAAAATTACATGAAATTCAAATTTAAGTGTCTGTAAATAAAATCACATTGGAACCCAGGCACACTAATGATTAGGTGCTGTCTGGCTGCTTGCATGCCACTGTGGAAGAGCTGGGTAGTCAGCATGAAGATCTCATGTCTGCAAGCCTGAAACGATTATTCTGTGGCCCTTAACAGAAATCATCTGCTGGCCTCTGTTCTAACTGGAACTTGACTCTGCTTTCCCCAGAGCACTTTTAAGTGGTGGCTGTTTTCCTTCCCTTTGCCCCGCACATCAGGCCCGGTGACAAGCTACTTGTCTTCCTTTCTACTCCTCATTGCTTCAGACCAGTCTTTCTCCTTCCCTCTGACAACCTCCCCAGCGCAATGTCCTATCAGACAATATGGTTTTTCCCAGCATCTACTGAACCCTGGCCATTCCCATTCATTTCCCTCTGATGTTATTTCCTGGCTCACTGTCTGCCTCTGCCAAAATGATCCCAGTCTTAATTCTCAACACAGCAGGCAAAGTAACCCTATTAAAACAAAGCCAGAGCATTTCCTGCCTGAGAACCCTCCAGTGGCTCTTCATTTCACTCAGCATAAAAGCCACATTCCTATGGTAATCTTCAATGCCCTACTGATCAAGTCCCCCCTTCCCTTTCCATCTCCTTCTGTTGTCCTTGCCCCTCTGCTCCAGTGACACTGGCTTGCTTGCTCTTCTTTGCACAGGTCAGGCATGCTCCCACCTCAAGGCCTCAACCTGGGCAGTTTCCTTAGAGTGATGGCTCATCCACTGGGACCAGTGGTTCTCCAAGCATGGTCCTCAGATCAACAACTTGTTAGATATGTAAATTCTTGTGCTTCACTCCATTTTTACTGAACTAGATGGAAACTCTTAAGATGGGGCCAAGAGTCTTCATAAAAATTAACCATAATTGACAAAAACTATAATATGCGTCAGTGAAAACTGCTATCCGGGACATTGCTACTTCCATCACCTCCTGTGGGTTCTGTTTAGAGATTACCGTCTCACCTGAACTCCTCTTTGAAACACAGTCACTGCCATTAATGCCAACTCATGGTCCTTGTTTCTTTAACCTCATTTTAAAATATTCTGATATGCTTCTAGATGTACTTATACTTAGTAATTTACTATTTGATGAATTTTCTGTCCCCTCTATCCCAACAATCAAATATAAGTTCTTTGTAGGCAGAAATGCATGTTTGTTTTGTTCATCAATGTAACCCAGACACTAAAGTTTATGATACATGGTGGCACTCAGCAGTATGATGACAGGGAAACTCCAAGCAAGGTCATCACACTTATGTCAACATACTCTGTTCTGTCATTCCTAGTTGAGATCTAGGTGTGCTTTGGTGGTACTCTTAAACCTTAGGCAAAGGCTCAGGCCCTCCAAGCCCTGAGTTATCCTGGTCCTGCACATTCTGAACCTACCCAAACAGAAGCCAGCACAGAGGTGTTGGGATTGATTGAAGGAGGGATAGTTTGTATTGCTGGCTTTTGACTGGGAGCAAATTGTAGGCAGCAGTACAGGAACCAAATACAGTGAATTATTACTAGTGCTGCAATAATAATTTGTAGCTCAAATCTTCCAGAGCTTTCTGTAGTTGGAAATGGAAGGTTTTTAGAACATTATCAGGGAACAAATGGATTGCTGTTTTCCAACTCTAGTTACATACCAGATTTGCATGTACAGCTTTTTAAAGAACACAGGCACCTAGGCCCTTTTTGCCAAGCAGTTATATTGTGGTATGGTAGAATGCTGATGTACAGTGAGGCCTGAGAATCGCTGGGATAGATGGCAGAAAGGTTGGCTTGCAGGGGAAAGAAGGACTCCTAGAGATTTTAATGCCTTTGACTATTAGTGAGTAACACAACTTTAAAAACCTCCCATCTTAAATTTTTATTTTGCTAATTTAATAAAAAAATACAAGCAAACAAAAAGCTAATGGAGATGACTTTTATATTAATTTGCAACAAAGCTCTTAATGAAAAGAAGGACAGAAAATATACTTAGAATTAAATCATTAAAAGTAAAATCCCCTATATGTTGCACAGCTTCAAAATATGAACCTCCAGGGCTGAGAATGATAACAGGCTGCATTAGCCAGAAATTTAGGAGTAATGACATTAGTATTCTTAATCTTTTTAGAGCAAAGAAGACTTTATGAACATCTGCATTGAACCTGACACTGTCAGCAAAGGAGACTTCATAACTATAGGGTAAGTGGACTGGGGTTTGCAGGACGTGGGGCTTCTTTAAGTAGTTTGAATGTACTTCACTGAGTAGTAGATCCAATAAAGGCCTGTCTTGCTTGGTAACTTGGTCATTCTTCCTTCTCTGTGGGGTTGATAATATATACAGTGTCTCTGCTTCAGTCCTATGCCTTTTGGAAAGATCAAACTGTAAGAATAGTCTTTTTGCCTTAAAGAATTCAGTGTAGCACACATATTGTCAAGAACTCTAGTTTTAGTGTCAAAGAACTGAATATAAATCTTGATTCTGCTACTCACTGCTCTTGTGATTAATGTCATTTAACTTTTCTGAATCCTTTGTCTCATCTAGAAAATGGAACAACATAACCATCTCTACTGATCTTGGGACATTTTTTAGTATCAAATGAGAAAGTTTATGAATTGTTCAGCACTTCACAGTAGCCCTTACTATTCATGTCTGTTCACCTTCCTATTCCCAGGGCATTAATGAAAAACTTGAAAAGGTATTGAGTACCTTGGACACTTCCCAGGCCTTTTTCTCTTTCCCAATATAACATACCCTTCCAACTCCTGCTTGATTTGTTAAGTCCTACCTCTGCCAGAATTTTATTGGCTAAGAATACTATAAACCCTCCAACAGTCAAAGCATCTGAGGAGCTGGCTTGTTCCCATGCCAACTGGTAATCTGCTGGCTCCATCCTTCTGAGCTTTGTCTCAGCGCTCCCTCTCGTGCCCATTTAGGGATTGAACATTTCTGCTGCAGCGGCCGAGTCTCCATGGCTGCCTCATTATCTACACCAGCACAGACAGCAGAATGGTTTTCATTAGTTTGTAATGTTCTTGCCTTTGGTACAAATACTTCACATACTGAATAGCTCCTTCTGCAGCCTTTGATTCATTTGCTGTATCTGGAGTTAAGGGAATAAAGGAAAAGCCTGTCCCTTCTCCTCCCAGTGTCTAAAAACCACACACCATCTTAACTGAGAGTCTGGCCAGTGTGACCAGCGATATTCACATCTCCTTAAGAACACTGACATCCAAAAACAGGAGGAGAACCTCATTATGTCGATTGAGCTAAGTGAACTCATGTTCAGCAGCAGCTCGAGTTTCCCTTTGGTCCTTATAGGAAGTGAACTCATAATGTAGGTGTCCTTTGGATATCTAAATAGAATGTGATGAAGTTGCTTTCAGAACTCTGAGTTCCTTTTACTAAAAAGTACTATCTCCAAGTAATGCAAGAAATGATTAAATAGTGGACAACTGTACTCGGGTTAGCTTTTCCTCTTTTTCTTCTTAACCATGATTAGCCATAAAGGGTATTTGTGCCTGAGATTGAGTATGTGTGTATTGGGTATTTTTACTCCAAGTCCATTTAGTAAAGATATAACATGCTAGGTAGATTGTCAATGAGTGTAGAGAATCATTAGATAATGTCTAAGACTAGTTTTTAAATATGAATATCTAATTTAAAGGAGGAAATATTTTTATTCTTAAGTAATAATCACAGAAACCAAATAGAAGTTTAGAATGTTTCCCAAATAATTTAATTCATTTTAATTTTTAAATTTGATAACTATCAAAGAGTTAGGTAACATATGGAATAATTTAAATAAAGAATAATCAGGGAAAGACAGTGTTAACTTCATGCACAGCTCTGAACAGCAAATAAGCCTTCTCAAGCTGACGACATCTCAGTGCTGGGCAAGAAATCACTGGGAGAAAATTTATTCACAGAACCCACCACTTCATAGACCCTCCGACTACTTTTACCATCTAAAAGAGAAAGAACTTGCTGTATTCTTGCAGTCTAATGCAGTTGCCATCACGGGTTTCTAAGTTTGCTTTTTCTGTCTGAACAGAAGTAAAAAGGTAAGAGACCCCAAACTCCGTGCGGATGGCACCGAGTGTCTCCAAGCCAGCAGGTGCACCCTGCTTCTTCCTGAGGTGAGGAGGGCAGGGCATGGGGTCTGGGGTCCTATAGCATCTTTTTGGTCTGTCTTCCTTTCTTTTCCCCTTCTTCTTCCCTATTAATTGTCCAACCTTTAGTGTCTAATGTGCTGAGCATTTTGCCAGGGTCAGGTCATAACAAGGAAGACCTGAAAAGGAGGCAAAATTCCCTTCTGAGTTACAGATTGGAGTTGGTCTCCTTCTGAAGATTCAGTTTTCAAGTCAAGGTTCTTCTATAAATTGATCTTTAGTTCTCTTGAGTATTTATTTTTTCATGTGTCAATAATGATGTAATACAAAGAATTCTCTAGCTGGTAAATAATGGTTTCATTTTAACATGTTTTTATAAAGGATCTGGAAGCAGCTTTCAGTTCACTGAATTTTTCTGTATTGAAATTCCATGCTTAGAAGAATAACCTATATAAGTGCAAGTGGAGGTATCTGAATTGTAAGGCTAGTTATTTAACTGGGGCACTCCAGGAAAAAAAGACACTACAGACTGCCTCTGAAGACTGTCTGCAATGCCACTACATTTAAACAGGAATGTAGGTAAACAGGAATGTTACCATGTGACAGGCACCACAGCTTCAACATAGCAGATGTTAAACACATGAATCGTGGAAGAGCCTCATAGACTCAAATATTGATAAAACTTACCAAGTCTTAGAGAAAAATAATGAAAATGATCCAGTTGACAAAATGGTTTGTCTTTCTCCATTTCCATTTGAGAAAGATTATATTGTTATTTGTGAATTATTTAAAGATGTGGCATATTTATTTTAATTAATATTTGAAAATTTAACCTTGTTGTTCTAGTTCCAAAATACTGTGGAAAGGAAGAGATTGAAGTTAAAAAAAATTCCTTTTTCATGAATAGTAGAATTGGGATGTGTTCAGGAATATCACTGTATGTCATTAGTGGGCACCGAAATATTGAAAGAACAATAGCATAAGCCCACAGAGAAGACCATGTTTTCTGTGGTGACCTGCCGTAGGGCACTGATGTGCATGAGAACCACCCTGAACATTCTTGTCCCCACAGGGAACAGAGGGCTCTTTCAGCATTGACAGTGAAGAGTATGAAGCGATGCCTGTTGAGGTGAAACTGCTCCCCAGGAAACTGCAGTTCTTCTGTGATCCCAAGAAGAAAGAACAGATGCTGCAGAGCACAGCCTAGTGAGTGGACAGTGACGAGGGCCTCTCCGAGACCACACTTTGGGCCACCCGTGGGACCAAAAGGAAACAGATGCCTCAGCTGTCCCCATAGGGTTGTCAGAGAATCCCAAGGGCATTTTCACAGCAAGTATCCCGTCCTCCTCAGCAGTGCTTCCCATAGTGCACCCTGCCACCTGCTCTGCAATTGGTACTCCATTAGAGCATGCTTTCATTTTGGTGTGATAGTCAGTCCCTCCTAGATAGTGATTTCCCTCAAGCTTGTCAAGGACATTCTTACTCTCAGTGGTTGGAAAGGGCTAGAGCTTTGTTATCTCCTTGAAGTGCACCCATGTATGGAGAACAGGATCTAATTTTTTTTTTTCTTTTGGTACCAGGGATTGAACCAAGGAGTGCTTAATCACTGAGTCACATCCCCAGCCTGTTTTATTTTTTGAGACAGGGTGTCTCACTAAATGAGACTGGCTTTGAATTTGTGGTCCTCATGCCTCAGCCTCTGGAGCTGCTGAGATTATAGGTGTGCACCACTGCAACCAGCAGGAGAGCAGGATGCTAAATTTTGTCTAAGATCGTCCATCCCTGTTCTTTGATTGTCCGGGGGAAGCAGTGCCTTCCCCAGGTGCCCTTTCCTATGTCTGGCTCCTCCATGGGTGATGCTACTTTGTGAGCTCTGGTTCTTGTTTAGCTAGTTTCAGTTCTATCCTCAATTCAAAAGCAAATGTGAGGTAGTTTCCTTCTTCAACCATGGCTAAACTATTGTAAAATGCAATTTTTTTCTTCTTTTTTTAAAGAAGTGCTTCTTCAATGTTGGTTGGTTTGCATGAGAACCACTTGGGGTGCATGCTGAAAACTGACTTGGGGCCCACCCCAAACTTAACAACTCAGCCAGGGATGGGCCAGGAGTCTGCATTAGGAAGGCTTACTTCAGCTAAATCTGTAAGTTGATCCTTTAACCTTACTTGGAGAAAGTGTTTTAAAGTAATGTTCCACCAACTATTCTGCTCATGTTTTCCCCAAAAGTATTTGAAAAATCATGTATCCCATCATACATCTATGTGACATCTAAAATTTTTGTGGGAAGTTAAATAGTTGCCAAAATATGTACTTTCTAATGTCATGTAAATATTGATGTTTTAAAATAACTGTTACATCACTCTTTTAAACATATCCAGTGCAATTTGACACCTCTCATTCATTTGTAAAAATAAATGAACTAGTTATTTAGTGGTTTAAAATTTTAAATTATTTTTTCTCCCTGTGGGTGTATTTCCATACCACTGTCAGTAAAAAGAATCTTATCATAATGTAATCTATTTTTATGCTTGACATTTTTTATCAAATGCTTCTCATCATCAAAAAATTAAAATGGAAATAAGTTTTTTTTAGTTCTTACATGTTTACAGAATAAATGTTACCATAATTACTGGTATAACTGATTAAAACTAATAATTAAAAATATTAGAATGTTCTTTATCCTAATTAGTTCATTTATCTAATATGTAAGTGGTATTTTTTTATTTTATTTTAAGATGGGGGCATTTCAACATCAATATATTCCTTGTTTCATTGTTTTACACTTATGAACACTTAAATAAATAGATGGAAATAGAAAGAATTATAAAAATGTCATATAGTTCTTTGAATTTCTTTGGAGATACATGGCAAAAAACAGTGCTCTCAACTAACAACTTGATAAGATCTTCTTTTAGTGTGTTTCAAGCAGAGACTGAAAACCACCCGATTAGCATCTTTTCTTTTGTTCTGTGCCTCTAGAGGGAATTGCACCATGGTAAGAGTGGGGAGATGCATGCCTTTCTCATTATAAGAAGAGGGGTAAGTGAGGAAAAAGAGCTAGCAGACCTTACTACAGGCTGCTCCTCAGGAAGTTCAAGTGTAAGGACAGCACGCATCCTGCTTGCCATGCAGAGTGAAGGCCTGTGCTCTACTGGGCTACACAGCAGTGATAAAAAGCCCAGGGCGTCAGACACAGAAAATGGGGCTTACCTGTTCAGCACTGTGTGCTTCAAGGTAATGTTAAAAGCTGTTCTTTAGCAGAAAAATAACAGATGGGTCCAAACATCAGCATAAGGCCACCCGAGAAGGGGAAGGAGGATGACAAGGTATAAGAAAATAAAATTAGCATATTGTGTGATTCTCTAATATCATGCAGGACCAGGACAGAAGCTGGCTTTCTTTTCTCTTGGAACCCTACCTGTGAGTGTGTATCACAGTTGGGGAAAGATATTTAACCACATTAAGAATTTTACTGACTTATAAATATGCCTCGTTTCAAAATTTGGGTTTTTTTTTTAATTTTTTGTTAATTATCAATGGACATTTATTTATTTATTTATATGTGGTGTTGAGAATCAAACCCAGTGCCTCATACATGCAAGTGCTCTACCACTGAGCCACAACCCCAGCCCAAATTTTGTTTTCTTCACACTACTTCCCATGAGGCCTTGGTTTCCTTATTGTCTCTTTGAGCTGTCCTTCTCTAGAGTGCCCATGTAAAAAGACATTTCACCATGTAGCTATTCTGCAGCCATGCTTGTCAGCCAAAGTTGGAATGCTCAGCTGTGCAAACAAAGGAGAACCTGAGTCCCTTTCTGTTTAGTGCAAACAGATTAATTTTGCTCAGAAGCTAAGATTATTCCTATTAAAAATATAATAGATGCTTTCTACAAAATATAACCAATAGTTTTCCTTTGCTGACAGTTACACTAGTAAGTGCCAGTGCTTCAGGGGTGCGTCTGATGTACTGGTTCTCACTATCATCTACGATGTGGGTATTAGTTGGTCGCCTCACTCAGAAGGCAGCAACCTGGCTTTGAACACCAGCCGTTTGACTCTAGAACCATCACTGTCAGCAGTTCACTCTATACTGGTTTAAAATATCTCCCCAAAAAAGTTAAAAATGGAATAAAGTTTAATATACATACACACCTATACATGTTGTTTCAAACTAAACTCTGATAAGAGATTTCATGAAACTAAAGGTTTTCTTCTAGAAGTTTCCTATGATTGAGGGTGCACAGTCCTGGCTCTTCTGGATGGCATTTTAGTCTCACCTGTGGTTTCCCCTACTGGGATGGAGAGCAGGCAGCAGCTCTTAGTCGCCTTTGTCTTCACTGTAAGCAAGGCAGCAACCAGCCCCATAGGCTCCACTCCCGGACTGGGCCATCATTCCTTCCCACCACAGACTACATCTCAGAGTAGGTGAAGGACAGAAGCACACATGTTCATGTTAAAATGTGAACTTTAATTGTAAAAATCATTTTCTGTAAATATAGTTGTAACAACCTCTCTGCACACAATTTAGTTCAGATATATACAGATATGATATACATAGATGTTATTTGTACCACAGAACAAAATCAAGAAACATTTACCCTTAGCCTTGGGACTAATCAGCTTTCTTTAGGCCTTTAAATTACTACCATTGAAAACAGAGAGAGGAGGGCAACACCTGGGAACTATCTGATTTCATCACAAGGTGAAGACTTAAACACAGATTCCATTTCTCTTATTGCTATAACTCAGGCTGGGGTGTTGCTCACAATAGGGAAAGGGAGGTAAGCTGATCCTAACTCAGAAAAAACAGGTTTTCCAGGGCCATGACTGCTTCTTTTCCAGGAAAGGTTATATAGAAATTTAGCCAACAAGCGTTGGGTAAATATAGGAAGTTCATTTTGTTTGCCTCTCCCCGCCCACCCCACACAGGTCACCCATCCAGACTCATCAGAAGCAGAGTCCTCGCCATTCCCCACTGATGGCAGTTGTGAATATGCTAGGCCCAAACTTTTCCTAATGCCATCTTCAGATCTTTTATATACTTCAGCTTTGGGTAATTTACCCAAAGGAGTTTCACTCTAATGTCAGTCAAATATACTTGTAACCAGCTGTTACCTCTGTGTGAAGTTTTCATTTTGTGGATCATCTCTGACCAATTTATAATATTCCACCTTACCCATATCCTTCAACCATTCTTAGAAAGCAAAGTATATATTCATCATTAGTCTAAAAGGCATTCTATAACAAACATAATTAACACCTTCCTACTATGGTACTAAATAAACTCTCTGAACTTAGGATATAGTATCTCTAAAAGCCCATGCTATACTGAAGTTCTACAATAAATTCTAAAAAGATGAAAGCAGGGCTTCACTTCACCATCATTGGATGTCTATACAGCACTAGAAAATTCCTAATCCCTTTCTAAATTTGCAATTTTTACCTCATCTACCCCTAAATTCCAGCCCTCCAAAATAAGTAAAGTGCTAGTTTTAAAACCTCCTCCCATTCCCACCTCTCTCCAGGTGACTGAGAGCCTAATCAGAAGGATCACATTTACCCTCTTCTGTCCTAGAGTCCTGCTGAAGCTTGGTGTGTGTCATCCTTCCTGGGACTGTCAAGTTTATCTCCTGGAGTGCTGTTCAGATAACACAGCACAATGTCCTTTTCACTCTAAGGGTCTCACCACTACGGAATTAGAAAGCTGCCCATTTCTAGGATTATAATTTTGAAATCTCTTTCCATTTCAACATCTTCATACTCAGTTTATCACATAGTAACATCAATATAAAAATAAACTTCCATTTCTTATAAGAAAAACATAAACTTAATTCACAGTTAGCCTTTTCCCACAACATTTAGTGCTCCAATAGCTCCTGGGAACAGAGGTATATTAGTAATAAAAAATGAAATAGTAAAAACTAGTAATTTGGGAGTAAAAGGAGCCCTTAACTCCTCCCCTCCTCCACCTGAATCAGAGAAGGATTTTCCTGAAATGAGAAGGGTGGGGCCTGCCCTGCCAAGGTAGGCTTGCAGGTCTGCAGTATGTTCACCACAGACATAGCTGCAAGTTATGGCAGGGGTGGAGGGGAGGGTGGTAGGTATCTCTCAGGTTCCAAGCTTACTAGCCTGGAACCTAACAGGGAAAGAGAAGCCCATGCAGGCATGCTGGTCTTTCATGTTCGCTGTCAAGCTGAGCATTGTCTTACACACCATCCACTCATTAGTCTGCCTCTCCAGGAATGGTCTACACTAGACTTGGAGTGTAATCAGTTCCCTGGGTAATGCATTTTCAAAGGAGAAAAACAGTCCCTGAGGTCCCTGCCTTTTTCTCCAAGTTTGATGTTCTGCCAATGAAGGTTAATTCTTTACCACCCTTTATGAAATGTTCCCTGAAGGCCTCAATGGAAAGGTGAATAATTTCACATTTTTATTGTACTTGAAGGTCTTTCAGTATATCAAGACATCAAGTTCATTCTCTAGCCACCAGAATAAAAACAATTACTTAGCTACGATTTATCTTTATCTTCTAGCTAAAATATCACAGGTAGTTACAGAATACATGGATCTTCACATGTGACATCAGGCAACATCTGCATCTGTGTGCTACTTTTATCTTTCCCATCATGATCTTCACATGGTTTATAAAAAGGTAAGTTAAAGATGTAAGTTCCTATGTAAATTACTTCTATCAATATGCTAATGAGTTTGGCCTCTCTTCTTCCTTAGCCAGATAGGAGAAGAGATACCAGGATAATGGCTGGAGGGTATGGGAGGCAGATGCCTTCTAGTTCACTGTACTCAGAACTGTACAGGTCCCAGGTGGGATGCTGACATTGGAATGGATCCAGGCCAGGCCTAGGGATAGTTTCATATTTAAAGCCAAAGCAAATGCTAATCAATGATTTGGTGCATACTTTTTAGTCTGGTAGGATATAAGTCCTGCAGGATCTGACTCTTTTTATTATCTGCTGAGCCTACAAAATTGAAAACATTCACTTTAACAGGCCTTTGTCCTACTTAACATGGATATAAACAGATCCCAATCCTGATTCCAGTCCCCACAGGACTCTTTCCACTTAGGGATGATTGGGCAGCCCTAGGATCACAAATCAGCAGGTGGTCCATAGGGGGCACAAGATCAGGCTCAGAGCTCCCCAGCAGGGTCTGGTATCTTATGCAGGGACAGGTGAGGGCCACCAGCAGAGGGCTCAAGGATCCATACAGCCTTGCTCCTGAGGTCAGTGGAGGTGATAACACTGCCTCTACTAAGCTTAGACCTAAGCAAGCAGAGAAAGATGTGGCCAACTTCTTTCAAACAAAAGCAGATTTTTTTTTTTTCCAGAATATATTTAAAGAGTGACAGAAAAGCAGGTTCACATGGCTCCTAGCTTCTGCTGTCACTGTAGAGAGATTCCTGCCTAGTACTTCAAAAACAAGTTCCCCCCAGAGGAAACTTGTAGCAAATGATGTGCCTGCTAACTTCCCATGTGGGAGCAGCAGAGTCTGGTACTAGGCAAAACTTCAAAAGGTGACCTCGGAAGCAAGAGGTTCCACGTAGCCCAGGTCACAGCTGGGGTGATTCACAGCAAGGAGTGAGTGAAGGGCTTATGCTGTTCAGTCAAGCAGAGGCTACGTCAGAAGGAAGCCGGCAAGACAGAGGAGGACTGAGGGAGAAG